AACAAAACCCGTGATTTTCCGGAACTAAAAAACTGGATTTTTTCCTGATTTTTGTTTTTTATTTTTTTTTACAGGGAAAGTAAAACTGGGTTTCTTATATAGATCTATTTTTTATCCAGTAAAAAAAATGGAAGTATGTCAGATCTTTTAAAAACCATTTTTACTCCAGCAATAAAAATGGATTTTTACTAAAATAAAACTGAATTTTTTGTATAAATCCATTTTTCATCCAGTAAAAAAAAATGAAAGTATGTTGGATCTTTTAAAAATTGTTTTTACTCTGATAATAAAAACAAATTTTTGCTAAAGTAAAACCAGATTTTTTGTATTGATTTATTTTTTATCCGGAAAATATTCCAAATAAAAAATGGATCAATACAAAAAACTGGATTTTTGCCTAATATGTTTGAAAATTTTTTTTTACAGGGCTGTGATAATTTTTACGAAAATCAACATTAATGAAAGATAAAGATCATTTGTGTAAAGATATCTTTAAATAATTACTAACTGAACTATTAATTAACAAGTAGAATTTATTGATACGACCTACAAAATAAAAATATCAAAAGCACTTTGAACTTATTGCGATCAACAAGATACTATAATTCTAAAATTAAGATATGATTTATTTATAGTAAAGATCTTTTACTATTGTATACAAACTTTGAAGATGATTAAGAGAAAAAATTTGTTAACAAGTAAGTATATTTTACAGGTTGATACTTTTATTGATCAGAGTATGAGCTTTCTTTACTTGAAAGAAGCTCTTTTTTATATTAATTCTTTAATTATACTAATTACATATTTCGTTTTATAGACTTATAAAAATAGAAATAAAAATATCAGTTAGAAACTATTCACAGAAAATATTTTACTAATAATCATCAGCTTGAAATTATCAGCTAGAAATCTTCAGCTTGATAATATAAATGCATGTAATTATCCAAAAATGTAGAATTAGTTCAACAAAGAGTTTCTTAAAAAGGAACATAATTATTAGATACTAATTTGTAAATGAAGATGAATAAAAGTAAAAAGGCAATAATAAGTGATTATTGTAATACATGTATAATGATTATACAAAATGGAGATTTGGGTGATATATGACAAATAATAATGTTATTTATGAAAAAATTATGGAATTAAAGAATTTTGTGTTGTTATAACAACACTATTATACATTTATTTGTACTAAATTTTTAGTTATTAAATACATGTATATTCTTTAGATGTTAAACACTTTACACGGAGCTAACGTGAAGTATGCTGCTCCATTAATAATTCTATATGTACTGATACATTGTATAGTGTCATGATGATAATATTATTTTTCTTTTGAATTCACACTCTTTTTTTTAACACACTTTCGTATAGATATGCTTCTTTAATAATATATTTTCGCTCGATGATTCAGCTTTATAATTAATTTGATATTTACTATAATAGTTTTAGTATTTTATTTAAAATTTGAAATGATGGTGAAACAAATAAAGATATCAACAGTCTGATAAAGAATATGTGGAGATTGGAAATATTTATCTTTCAAATAGATTAAATATCTTGCAAAAGAGATATTTTATAAAGCATCTTTGTACTTGTACTAAAAGTTATATAAAGCAAAACGTGAGCTAGAGCACTCAGTAAACATTATCAAAAGTCATAAGAAACAAAACTGGAGCACAAAACAGAACTGAATTTATAGCCACTTTCAGGATAATTCACTGAATGACATAAATACATGTTTAATTTCATATTGCTTAGTATTTATACCTATCGAGACAATTATATTGGTTCAATTTTTCTTGTAATTGATCAAAAATACTGTCTAATAATATCATTATGTCATGTTATAGATCATTCAAATCAGTTCAATTTTTCCTATAATTGATTAAACATGTCAAAGATCAAAAGATAAATAAAATACTTGCCTAATAATATCATCATATCATGTTATCTATTATTTTGAATGAATGACAATTTCAGGTTTCTCACCATTTGTTTCATCACCATCATTATGGCTGTCCATCGCGAATTTCTCTAATTCATGTTGGACTTTAAGTTTTCTAGAGCATCTATTGTGCGTTAGGTGCTGTTGTTTCTTGGCAGTCCCTCTTGCTTTTGGATCTGATTTTATCAACATTTACATTCTAATTCTTTGTGGTTTCTTCCAAATTAACCTCTGGCCAGGTAAGTTTTACTTTGCATTTGCTAGTTTTCCTGTTTGTTGGTGGGAAGTTTGTTGTGTTTAGCTGGTTGTCGGTTATCACTTCGTTGTTATCATTATTGCCTGGTTGTTGCGAATTTCATGTGTTCAACCTTTGTATTCTTGCTAATTGCAGTGGTTTGGTGTTGTTTGTGGTTTGTGAACTTCCTCCTTTTTTTTTGGTTGCGTTGATTGATGGGCCACTCCACAGGTTTCTGGCGGGAATGAGCAACTTTCAACCGGAACTGCCATAATTCTAATACACAAACGATTCAATTTTTTTAACAAGTTTATTTAATAATCTATTAGGATGTTACTTCATAATATTTTGTAAAAAAGCATTTCCAAAATCTTTTTAATTGAAGTCAACTTCCTCTTCTTTTCAATCAATTAAAGTGGCTATTTCATTTTACATGTACGTCTTGTACACATAAATATGCACGTATCAGCTATATGACTTCATGTTCATTATAACAATGCCTAGCGTTAGGAATAATATCGATATAAGTGAATGTCATACGCCCGTAAAACGCTATTAAATTAGAATGCAGTATTACTTTGTTTATTACGTATTATCAATATTATTAAAGAACTTCAGGCAAGCTTTGCTATAAAATATTCTGTATGCAAATATCAAGAAACATTGACTATTATTTCTTAGAAAATGGAAATTAGTTCGATATTCACGGAAATTCGTCAAAAAATTTTCAAGAATCTAAGCAGTGAATCTTTATTTAATTGTCTAGTCAATCGACCATTTTTCAAGAACCCAAACAGAGGATTTTTATTCAATTGTCTATTAGTCAATCGACAATTTTGTTAAGAAATTGTGCCGATTCTTTGGGAAGCATCTCTTACGACTATAAATGCATTGCAGGGGTTTATGTCGGAAGTTTTTCGAAAGAAACATGGGAGTATCTGCGTTCCAACCAAATTAGTCGACCAAAGACTACACAACAACCGACGTTTAATTATGTTTCTTTTTTGCGCCATTATGTACCAATACATGTAAATCGCGTAGCAAGCGCATGTTTAAATCAAAGATATTACAAGAATGAAGAAGAGTTGAAAATATGCAAAGAATTGGCAGTTTCCTTGTCCAGACTTTTATTAACCGAATTGGCTTCTTTGCATTCTTTATCGTTAGATCTTTTTTTTAAAGAGGAATTCTGGAGTCTAATCCCTAAAGAATGCTCCGTTTAAAGCTTATTGAAATCCTCAATGATTATCACAAAATGTTCGAAAATCTGGCCAATACCTGCTATTTAAAGAATCACGCTCAATAGTCCTATAATTTCTTTTGATGAAAATACCGTAGAAGCATTTCAACACATGATGAAAGCCCAAAGTGGATTACAATGGATCCGAATACGCCGTTTACCTCCTCCCATTGAGATCAAACTTATTTGTAGCACTCTTTATTATTCATCAAAATATCGAATTACCGAAGTTGACTTCAATTGTTTTAGCGCAAATAGCGTAATTCCAGGATTGAGCTCGTGTATCAATCTAATTTGTTTAAGTTTTCAGAACTGCATAAAGTTAGAACAACCATGTTGGTTTGAAACGGCTAAATTTTTTCAAAGATTGGAATATTTCTCAATTCGACTTTCATCTCCGAAACCGCCAGTTAATCTAATAGAGGAAATCACCAAAGCTAGCAGCAATACTCTCAAATATTTTTGTTTGAGAAGCGATCCTAATAATTGCGTTGACAAGATATTTCCTTTAATTATTCTTTATTCACGCAATCTCCGAGCAATCGATTTATTCGATTTTAGCGGAGAGAATCTGTTCACTTGATGGAATCATGTCCAAATCTTTATCATCTGAAATTATATGTTAGAGAGTGTGATGATGTTCTGACAAGAGAACTTCGACCCATAATTAAATCTCTTAGACTAAACTTTACAGGAACTTTTCTCGAAATATCCGAAAAGCTATTTATTCATTTTCCGGAGGTTACTCATCTAGAGTACCTTTCTCTTGCGGATTTGATACTCTTAGAAATTTGGTCGAGTACCTTTGTGAGGGTGTGGAGTATTTTGACAAGTAAAGAAAATATGCAATACCTCAATAACTAGCGATCGGAAGATATCACCATTTGATTCGTCATGTCGAATGGTTGTATTTTCATGTGATTCCGATCGCTGAGTATCGAGATCTCGTTACTTCGTCATAATATCTTCTTCGTCAAAATTCCTCCTACCTTAGTCTGTAATCGTCGTTTATTTATTTTTAAACCAATTTATCTGTTTACCTTATTGTTGATAGGTAAATACCAACTGAAAATTATTTATGCGAGACATTAGAATCGTTTGTGTGGTTTTGAGTGTTCAAACTATTTATCATATACAGAGAACTCTTCCTAAGTGCACCCCCTCAAGACCATATAAAAAAAAGACAAAATGTGCATTTAGGATGGTGTGAATTTATGGAGAATAAATAATTAGAATCGTATATACTCGGGACTGAGCCAGAGTGTGCATTGAAGGAGGATATACGTATAGAGTACGTATGCATTTATTCTCTTTATTTTATTTGAAAAGTTGATCATGCATCAATCATAAATTACAAATACCTTTTTAATATTATATGATCCTATTTTATAAATACATGTACAGTCGAACCCCTCTATAGTCACCACCCTCGGGAAAGCAAAATTGGGTGAGTATAGAGGGAATGTGAATATAGAGGTGTGTGGCTATAAACGGGTGTGACTATAGAGGAGTTTGACTGTTCTCTATATCAAAAGTTGATTTTAGAAATTTCTATGCTTGCTACGATATGATCGATAACGACAAGAACTACGAAATACCGTACATTTTAAAGCAGTCTGAAATTAATTTTGAAAAAAAACTATATTAGAGATAGTTCAAGTACTTTGAATTTCCACACAACTTCTTTATGTTTCCATTTAGTTCAAATTTAAATTTACTTTATAATTCTCATAGATGTAATCGTGCAATGATTCTTTATAATTGAAACTCTCCATTTACAAGTTATTCAAAATTGGTGGATCTTTTAAAAAGGGATCCATTCATAAGCGCTTGTAATTTTCATCCATCGCAGCAATCCCGAGCTCGACAATCGTCACATTCACTACAATTATGAATGCGTACTGTGAAACGAACACTTTCTGCAATAGCAATCATTTCGACAATAAAAGTATTTACTACAATTGTGCATATTCGAAAGATTGGACACTTTATAAATGGGTTTAGTGGTTAAAATTCGAATGATGTTATAAACTTTTGTATCAGTAGTATGCATTGGTGCATTTTGTGTGTATAAATTTGACACTGGCGTATTATTACATGTAATTTATAAAAAATATGAACAAAGTAAATTTCAATGGTATAGATTATAACAATTAAAAGATGTGTTATTAAAAAGTTACTGTTACATTTACTTCTAACAAAGGACAGTGAATGTTCTTATTTTATATGAATTTGTAGTTTGTCTTGCAAGTCATTCGACTACGTACGTCTTTTGCATCACCAAAGATGATCTTCAGTATACGTAACGATAACGAGCAATTTTACATTCATCTGGAACATACGTACAAACTAACGCTAACACTTGTATAGCCTATCGTTATATAAATCAAATTTCTAATTTCTTCGTGTGTTTTAGGAGCTGTAGTATTGAAATGCAAAGTTTTTAGCTTTTGTATAAAAATGTTCGATTTATGTTTTAGTTTGCCATTGTTGTTACTTACTTTTATAGAATTTTTCATTGTGTGTTGGAACTTCCATTTGTGTTAACGTTAATGCATATCTATAATTGGCGTACATTCATAAAAAAGAACCATCATCGTTAATTAACGATATTACGTACTTCATTGATTCAAAATCGCCATCAAAATGAAGTCGTTCTTTACGACATTATGTATTTATTTAATACTGGTATTTTACTTTGCTAAAGGAGAAACACCTACCTCGAGGCGGTAAGTACGTAATGCAGCTGAATACATGTAAATGCTATTTTATTTATTCTAGTAGTATAACCAAAGCTTTAATAGTGGCCAAGCTGGAGCAATAATCGATAATAAGTAAGCATTTTCTTAAGGAAATTCAGTAATTAAAAGATAAACTTTAACCCGAATCTTCTTATTGATAACTATAATTTAGATTATATGTGTTTGGTGGACAACAAACAAATAATCTAAGTCCAACAGGATACGTTAATGAACTTTGGATACTAGACTTAACTCAATCTTTTAACGTATCATCACCGCCATGGGTTCGTGGCCCTTCGATAAATGCTCCGGAAAAAAATGCATTATTCACAGCAAATGTTGGTGGCGCAGAAAACAAGCAGCTAATAATCTATGGCGGCGAAAATCCAAGTTCAACTCCATATGCCGTATTCGATACCACATCGCAGAAATGGTCAACTCCCAATTTCACAGATACAAGCGCGGTAAATACTCGAAAAGATCATACAGGCGTTACGAACTTCAATGATACTACGATACTTTTTTATGCTGGAGAAAGATACGATGATGAATTTACAATCAACAATGACTTATTTTTGGTAAATACTCATAGTTGGTTTACGCACTACTTTCCAGCCAGCCCGGAATTTAGGTCGTGTCATACTTCGACACTTTTAAGTGATGGTAAAATGTATGTGATAGGTGGCCTTTCCAATAAAAACCCTGATTCAAATACATTTGCGAAAATGGATCAAATTCTTGTATTCAATTTAAAGACAAGTAAATGGACCCGAGAGGTAATTAATCAATTTATAAAAAAGTATACTGAAATATATATTCTAATTATGTGTTATCTTAGACAATACATGGTCTTGTTATTCCTCCAGAACGTATACATCATGCAGCAGTTGGCAGTAAGTATATTGGAGTCTTGTTTGCATTTGCTTCTATCTCGTATAATAACAATAAACGCATTTAGCATTTGAGAATAAAATTA